CCTCCAGGTGACGGGATCGCTCAGCGTCCTCCAATAACAATGTCAGGATTCAGGAAGGTCATGTGATGCAGATTCTAGAAAACTAATGGCTGACGTGTAAAAAGTGAGCGACCGTCAAACACGTCCGAATGTAATCCATCACTGGGGCCACGGGGACAGTCCGGGGGGCCGCCCTCTCCTGGCCGCCATGTCTGTCTGTCCCGGAGGAGGAAGACCGCCATCATTTCCAGGTCTATGAAGACACAGCCAGGCAATCGGCATCTCCAGAGGGTCAGCAATGGCGGCTCCGCACATCCCCATCACACAGTCCCTATGAAGCTCCTCCTGGACATGTGACCTCCTCCTCCTATCAGAGCGGCCAATCACAGGACTTCTCACACAAAAATCCACAGAGTGGAGGCGGAGCTTAGTCCGAGCCCAGGAAGGGGAACTGGGGTCATGGATCGGGTTCTCTGGACTGTGAGTGGGGGGCGGCTCCATCCATGAGGTCATCCAGGGTCAGAGGTCACAGCCAGAGCCCCGGATCTAGCTCTGTGGCCCCTTGATGGGGTGATTGTATTGTGAGGGTGCTCTGGGGTGACAGGTCACCGCCGGGGGGTCCTGGATCTTTCTGTGTGGCCCCTGTAGGGTTGTTGGATGTCTTAGTCTTGCAATGTGGCCCCCCTCAGGTGTATCAGTTCGGTAATGTATCTCTGTGGCCCCCTGTTGGGGGTTGTTGTAATGTGAAGGTGCTCTGGGGTCTCATCCCAGGGGCCCTGGATCTTTCTCTGTGGCCCCTGTAGGGTTGTTGGGTGTCTTAGTCCTGTAATGTGGCTCTGTGGCCCCTCTCAGGTGTATCAGTTCGGTAATGTATCTCTGTGGCCCCCTGTTGGGGGTTGTTGTAATGTGAAGGTGCTCTGGGGTCTCATCCCAGGGGCCCTGGATCTTTCTCTGTGGCCCCTGTAGGGTTGTTGGGTGTCTTAGTCCTGTAATGTGGCTCTGTGGCCCCTCTCAGGTGTATCAGTTCGGTAATGTATCTCTGTGGCCCCCTGTTGGGGGTTGTTGTATTGTGAAGGTGCTCTGGGGTCACATCCCGGGGGCCCTGGATCTTTCTGTGTGGCCCCTGTGGGATTGGCGGGAGGCTCAGTCCTGCGGCTCGTACTTGCTGAGCTTCCGGCGGAGCTCTTTCATCTGCTCGTTCTTCTTGCTCAGCATGTCCTTCATGTTGCGGTAGGCGGCCGTCTCCTGGAACTTCCTGTCCAGCTCCCTCTCGGCCATGGCCAGCTGTTCCTGGACCCGGAGGAGCTGGTGTTTGGTTCCGGTCAGGTTCTCCTCCAGTTGTCTCTGGCTGGCGTTGTGCTCGCCCATCGTCTTCTGGAACTCCACCTTCAGGTTGCTCAGAGCATCCTCCAGGTGCGTGACGTCCCTCGGGGGCGGGGCCTCCGTCTCCTGGACCAATCTGCGCAGGTCTCTCAGGGCGGCCTCGGTGTTCTTCTTCTCGTCCAGCGTGGAGGTGACCTGGCCCTCCAAGGTGCGGAGTCGCCCCTTCAGCTTGTCATTGTCCTCCTGGAGGCGGGCGATCTCCACATGGAGGAGCTGGGAGGGGCCATCCAGCGGGGCCAGGCGTTGTTTGGGCACAGCGGGGGCGGAGGAAGGGGCGGAGTCTTGGCTCCTCTCCAGCTCGGCCACTTGTTCCAGCAGTTGTCGGTTCTCCAGCTCGGAGATGTCAGTGTGGAGTCGCAGGTGCCAATGCTGGGCCTGCAGGAAGAGCTGCTGCAGCAGCAGGACGTTGGTGTGGGCGGAGTTCAGTAGTTCCAGCTCCAGCTCACTGAGGACGGCGGACTGCAGGCCGCACAGCAGCTCCGACACCTCCTCCGCCGTGTACGTGTCCTCCATCAGTCGGCTCTCCATCACATCCTGGAAGCAGGAGCGGACACTCTTCAGCCGCAGCTGCCGCTTCCCCTGAGCGAAACGAATGTAACTCACAACCTCCGCCCGGTGCTGCTCGCTCAACTCCGCCATCTTCTCCGTTACCATAGACACCGCGCCGGGTCATGTGACTCGCCGTATGCGTCTCCCAGGCAACCGTTCACGTCACCGAGGAGCCATAACCTATTGGCTGGGGCTTGTGTGTTACTAAAAAATGATAGACCATTGGCGGGGCTTTGGTGACGTCATCCAGAAATAGGAGATTTTCATTGGGCCGAGTCTACGGCACGTCACTAAGGACCAGCCGCTATTGGATGCTTCAGACATAAGAAGTGTTGTATTATTGGCTGGGAATAGACGTCCACCATCTTCGTCACCATGGAGACCGAGGATCATGTGACTAACGCGCTGCGCTGAGCGTGCACGTCTCCCGGGAAACCGGTGTAGTACAAAAACACCGGTTGTGTGACCAACATTTTGTAAGTTGAGGAAAAATGGGTGTCATCCGAATCCTCTGTCTTCACTATGACTCAGAGTACACAGGAGGCCGGCCTTCACTTGCTGCATGCTTCTCACGCCCCGCAGCAGCATTCCAGTGTAAACTGAGCTATAGGGCTATGCATTGACAGGTCCCGCCCCCGGGAATTCACAGTAGCCAGTTAAATATCTCCATTTAGAAGGAGGTGTGGTCTGTGTCTCCAGGGCCGCCCTTAAAATGAGGCAGCCTGAGGTGATTGCCCCAGACAGCATCTCATTGGGGG